TTGTACACTCCGGCCTTCATCGGGTGGTTGGAATTTCGAACTGAACCCTTTATTTCGCTCACTGGGGTAGACTGTTCTAGTTCCACATGCCATGTTTGATGGATGTCAGTTATCAATTCTCCTGTTAATTTTCCCTCTGAAAGTTCTCCACTGCCTTAACCTGGTATTGAACTCACACTCTTTGGGTCCTGTCACTGGATCTAACCAATGCCTTTATCCACTGTGCCATGTGACCTTGAGAAGAAGGCCAGAGCGTACAATGGCCGAAATGTTGTGATAAATATGGCGACAAAGATGAGGACAATAATCCGAATAATGTAAAAAATGTACATAATACCTCATCTCAGAAATATAGACAGACTCAGTAGTTCTGTTTATAGCAAAACGGTAATTTTCCATTAATAAAACAAAAAAAAAATCAATGTTCATCTTGTAGTGATATTGTAAACAAATAATGATATCTCTTAGTCTGGCCTTATTGAATAAGTCCTTAATCTTTCAGATATATCATAAATCAGTGGATATGTACTTAAACACACTAGAGTCAGTAAACTATAGATGACATCTTTTAACCTGTTTTCAAATCCCTTCACTACTTAATCTTATCTTTCAAATGCAGTTCTTTTTATTCATGAGACACAGGATTTGAATATAACAAAGCAGAAAGAGCAAACAAAAAAAAATCAATAATATATATTATGGTTTAACCTACAATTGAATGCCTTTATAATCTATCTTATTCTCTTTATTTTCCATTATTTTTGCCTACCATGTAATATATAGGTAAAGGTATCAAGAGTGATCTGTACACACGCACACACACACACACACACACACACACACACATATATAGGGACTTTATCAAGTCAAATGATAATGTGCTCTCTTTGACTTGATAAAGTCCCTCAGAGGATAAAATGTGTCAGCTAAGTTTTTATATTGTCCTTTTACTGATACACTCTATCAAAAATTTTTACACACACACACATTTTTAAAAAACAGTGGAGGTCCTGTTTTTTGTTTTTTTTAAACACTGTTAATTACATCTACTGGCCTATGCATTTAAGAGTCTATATATATGAAAAATACCTGTAGAAAAAGACAATATGTATAAATGTAAAAGACAATAGGAAAACTATTATTATCTGACGCGTTTCGTCCAATGTGGACTTTGTCAAGGCAAAAATGAAATGAATTTATTAAAAACAAAGTAACTATTAACAACAAAGCAAAATGTCCTTAGCAACTTGAAGGACATTTTGTTTTGTTGTTAATAGTTACTTTGTTTTTAATAAATTAATTTCATTTTTGCCTTCAAAAAGTCCACATTGGACGAAATGCGTTGAATGACATTAAATGAATGTTTCTCTCTCATTAGGCTACATACTTATTGATGTGCCCATGCTCACTCACACAAAATTGTGATTTAATATAAAATTAAAATTCCTTCCCATCACCTGACCTACCACACTTGTGTTATTCCTGTTTACAATAGAATTAGAATTAAAATAAATAGATAAAACAAGACAGTGCGAGACTTCCATCTTTTTGTTGTAACCTTTCCCCTGTTTTATTACCACTCTCCCCAACTTGCTTCACTCTTCCTCTGACCCTCTCATCCAGAAACCAAAATAATCAGCATCCATAATTTTCTGATATATTTCCCAACCCTCTCTCTTTCTGTCTCCACTAACTTTAGAGCATCATATTCAATAAGGATACATTCCATCATTAACTTGTGACTCAACCCAGTGGCAAGTAACCGGACCAAAATCAATGCCAAAAGTAATTCTGATTTCGATAGAATGTTTGGTCATGTGCACCAGCCTGCTCACTTGCCAACAAAGTAGTCTCTATTTTGGATAATGCCACTTCCTTCGATGTCTTCCATTTCCCTGCTTTATTTCTTCACAAACAAACCTCTTTCCCATCCAAAGATTTTGTTTCATTTCAATTTATTCTATTTTTACCTTTTGTAAATTTATTCAGTTTTATACAATTTTTGGGTTAAACATTACAACCAGTCCAAATGAAAAATGCCAACTAACCAACCAAACAAATGATGAAACAACTAAAACCAACCAAAAGAAACAATCAGTCAACCAACAACTTTTTTCCATCAAATACATACAAACAATTTTTGGTTTTTGTACAGAAGAAAATCTTAGTTCAATAGCAGGTAACATGGAATTTATGCACAAAACTTCAAATTCCAACTGAAATAGTTTTTATTTACTTTGCACTAATGACTATGGATTTATTTCTTTTCCCAACTATGAATAAAATTGCAGTGTAAACTGGGTTCTCTAGACTTTGTTGGTAATGCTAAGATTGAAATCTATTTCCCCCAGCTATGGGTAAAAAGAGTAAAAACCAATGTGTGCAGTTTGAAATCACATTCAATATATGTTAGAAAGTTTTCAACTATGCTGGTTTGGTTGAAAACTAATAAAAATTTGTTGTTTAAGATTTAACTTTTGCTTAGTTTTTCTATGGTGTGGACCATTTTTCTGGTTTTTAGAGAGAATTTGAACATAAAGTACCTAGTGTCCTATAAGTGCTTTCAGCTTTCATAAGCCATTATGCAAGAGTTTTTTTGTAACTTGATAATGTTGTGTCTATCTGCATGCATTGTGTTTCTTTTGTGATTTCCGAGTATTGTCTTCCTCTATGAATTAAAGTCATGCTGATTTTTTCAGGTATCACATTTTAACACATCATTTTGTAGTCCATTTTTGTTATTCTGAAATACATTTAGTATATTTGTTTCTAAACTGAATGAAATTTTGATGTTGGGTTGTTTGTTTTTATGGTTAAGACTTCTTGTATATATATTGTAATCACTTTTTACAGTTTTTATGTGGTATAGTATTTTTGAGTTATTGATAAGTATTTGTTTGATTTCTTATGTTTTTATGATTGTGTTGGTTGGCAATATGTGATTTATTTGCTTATTGTTGTAGTATACCTACAGATGATAATGAGTATGTCCCCATTCGCATAAATACAGTAGTAAATACTGTCTGTTGGAGATTCATTGTGGAATTCACTTGACTCACTTCTAGCAGTTGACTACTACTTCTATGCACCACTGGTGAATATGTGTTGTTCTTGTCCTAAGTATTATCGTTCATTACCAACCTTTGTGTGATTATTCTATTTAGTACCCTTTCCTAGGTTACAACACTTATGAATGTTAGAAGCACTCAGAAGACATTATATAATTTATTCAAATTCTACTTGGAAACTCAAAAAATGATCTGAGTTATAGATAAATAAATCAAAAAAAATATCTTACACAATTAACATTTGTTAGTCTTCAATCAAATAAAGATAAATATATGTATATCTCAATATTGAGCAACATTTTCACATAAATATAGTGAATTTTAAATATTGTTTTTTTCATTTTTTAATATTTTGATTTGTAATTATAATTCACTCATTTATAATTATACAGATATCAAATAAATGTTTAGGTTTTAATTTTGTAAAAGTAAGCCAACCATCTGAGTCAATGATGTAGAGTGATTTTTTTTTAAAGATTTCAAGATTTTATATTTACACATGCTCTA